CCCTGAGGGGACAGGAAGAGGGGTGGGGGGTGGGGGAAGGGGGAGCAGGGAACAATGATGACTGTATAACCCCACTTGGGGAATGTATAAGAGAATTGTAGGTGAATGGATACATTGGATGGCCTAATATACGGCAAAAAAATTATATTACTATATATATAAAAGAATAGCTTGCATTTTCAAATAACTTTTGATACATTATCATGACCAATGTAGTCTTTCTGTGCTTTGGGGTTTTCAAATTTCAGATAGAGATAGGCCGTCACCCCTTCAATGACTGCCTGCTGATTGGCCTTTAATTCCCCGTCCCCTGCTCTGTACTGTTCAGCTTAACAGTAGTCAGTCAGTGACGGACAGGGGGTGAGAAGTAGATGACCTTCACATTTGAGCTCCTTGATCCCGTTAGCACATCTGCTGTGGCTTCATGGCTTATTGGACATGACTTTGGACAATTGCACACCAACAGTCACCGACTAACTTCACTAAGTCTGTATAGCCTGGCACTTTCCTTACATCCTACAGTCTCTTGACGGTGTGGTCCATGTGTCTGCATATAGTGTGATTCACATCCTCACAACCTTGGTGGGAAACAGAGCCTTAGAAAATGTAGAACTCTAAGTCTCCATGATGCAGTCAGTTAAAACTTTACAACTTCCACTAGTCTCTAATAGAGTAACCCCTGAAGCAGTTTTTCTTTTTTAAATATAGAGTTACAAGGGTCTGGTTTAAGATGCAGCAATACACAAGGCACCACAGTACGACAAACTGACAGACATGTGGTTGTGGCTTAAGACAGATGTCAGCAAATTGTCAACCAAGCCTTCATTGTACTCCCAGTATCCTTACAGTGCTGCTCCTCCTCCTGTCAGTCACGGTCTGAGTCCTGTGTAATGACCCCGCTCTGGGAGTTTAGCCCCAGCATTTCTGCAGTAGTTATCAGCCCTAGAGAAAACTTTGGTGCAAGCCAAAATGTTGGCCGTTTGTACCGACACCGCAGCTCTGCTGAAGAAGCACCTGGTGATCTATCTTTGTAATGATTAACCCTATCACTCCCATTGAGTCGAGGAAATGTGGACTCTGTGACCCTGTAAGACAGAGTAGAACTGTCCCGGTGAGTTTCTGAGACTGTAAATGTTTACGGGGGAAGAATGCCTGTCTTTCTCCTGCAGAGCAGCTGGTGGTTTTGAACTACTGACCTTGTGACTCACAGCCCAATGTGTAACCAGGGCTCCAAAAAATTATACCTAAGAAACTCCGTTATTATGACTAGAAAATTGACCCACCAAATGCCCAACAACAGCGTGAACGAAGACCCCGTCTGTGTTTGAAAAGCTCCGGGAGGTAGTGCTAGCTGTTCCTACTGTAGGTACAACCCCCCTCCTGCTGGCCCTGGCTTGGCGGTGAGGTACTTTGCTGTGGTGTTTTCAGCTGCCTCATATGCCCGGGAAAGTTGGGAATGAAATAGGGAAGAGCAAGGAAGAATCGATGCCTCTGAAGTGTGCTGATGGTGAATGTGGAAAGGACCCTGCGCTGCCGGAAGGAACCAGGCAAATCTGTCTTGTAAGGAATGCAGCCAGAATGCTCCTTGGAAGGAAGAATGGGGAGGCCACATCCTACATACT